GCTTGGATCACCATTTTTCAAATGATCCTCAGCGTAAAAAATGTTAGATGGTTGTCTTTGGTGATGCATTAATGGATGTAAATATATGTATAATGCAGCAGGGGGGGTGTTTGTGGTCAAAGCCGTAATGTGGCGGGCCCTTGTGTCCTGCATCCCTTATGTTGCTTCGTACAATCATGCGCAGATCTATTTCAGATATTCTGTTTTTGTTGAGAATTATTGTGCAGGATTGAGGCCTTCAATATTTAGAATACAAAGGGTCTTATGTTATTGATTGATGATCCAGTTTTTGCTGTGTCATGAGTTGTAAAATTGTATATATGAGTTTGAGAGGGGATGACCTTTTTTCTTTTTCTTTTTTCTTTTTGGTTGAAAATCAAGTAGCAATGTTGTCAACGCTTATGTTTAATGAATAAGGCACATCTATATCGCATGAAGCGTTAGATGTTCCAGGAGCAAAAACTAAACATGTGCATACCATTATCAAGGAAAACATGTCATCAGCTTCACCTCGCTAATTTTGCACTCCTGAATTTGTGGCATAAGGCATATGGTCATCATAGCATGTTTGTACTTTGAATGGTATCTTTCATTTTTATGATTTTTTCTTTTATAAAAGGCGCTTTTGTACCTTGTCACCCCCCTTAAGTGTGAGTGAGTGTGTGAGTCTTGGTTTTTGTTGGCTTTTTCTTTCTTTTTTTTTTTTTTTTTTTGGGGGGGGGGGGTGTTTCTTTACCTTTTTTTCTTCTTCTTAATATAAAGATACACTCCTGCATGTTCAAGAAAAAAAAAACTATGTTTTTCCTGTAGGTCTATTATCCTTGTCATGATTCTATTCTCACTGTAATGGTAACAGTGATTGATGTGACTAAAGTCTCTATCTATCGCTATATATGCTTCTCCATGTGGAAAGGTTGTCTATCAGTGTTAGAATGTGAAGATTTGCTGAAACCTGATAGCCTTCGGACAGAAGACTGATGAACTGCTTTAATCACGGTAATAAGTTTGTATCCAAATTGTATGTGCCTAAAAGTTAGTGACCTCTGTGTCTCTTTGAATCTATTGTTGCACTGCAGGCGGTATTGGGTGTGTTTTGCTAGAAGATATTCCCCAGTAGTACGCATCATTGGTGAACTGGATTGATGCTGCATCGTCCATCCCATCGATGGCGATGTGATACAGCATCTCTTTCCCTTTCAGGTTCATAACTTTATATGCCATTCACTAGTAGAGAACAGATCTTTCATCCGATGCTAAAATGGGCTCTAGTCCCGGCATTTTTTACGCCCGGGACTAGAGAGACCTTTAGTCCCGGTTGGTGTCTCCAACCGGGACTAAAGGTCCTCGCTTAACGGCTGCGCTTCGACACGATGGCGTAGTACCTTTAGTCCCGGTTGTAGACACCAACCGGGACTAAAGGTGGACCTTTACTCCCGGTTGGAGCCACCAACCGGGACTAAAAGTCCTCAACCTTTAGTCCCGGTTGGTAACACAAACCGGGACTAAAGGTAGACCCTTTAGTCCCGGTTGGTAACACCAACCCGGACTAAAGGACCATTTAGTCTCAGTTGGTAACACCAACCGGGACTAAAGGTCCCCTGATGGGTTAGTTCAAAAGGGAAGCATCACATCCATTGTTAGATGTATTGTGTAGGTGGGGTGGTAAGCTACGCGCGAGGCAATGCATGGGGTCTTGGGTTCGAATCTCACGGAACGCAGCGGTGGGAGGCATTATTTTTTTTAAAGCTGGGAGGACCTTTAGTCCCGGTTGGTGTTACCCACCGGGACTAAAGGTCCGGTTCCTGACCCGAGACTAAAGGACCCCCTTTAGTCCCGGATGCTTACTCCCGGGTGGGGAACCGGGACTAGAGAGGGTTCCCCACCGGAAGTAAAGCTCTGTTTTGTACGAGTGATTGGCTAAGTGCTTTTAGAGGGAGTCATCAAGTTGGCTCAAATGTAGTACAGCGAGCCCTCCTTTCTTGGGAAAAATGTCTACGTACCATCAAAAGATTACAACTTTAGGAACGTACCATTAAAAGATCACTTGTTTGCTATATAGCACCGAAAGGTCACAACGTTATTGGTTTCTCCCACTTCTGTTAACTTTGCTAACGTTCCGTGTATCTCCATTCTCCAAGTCGTCTTCTTCCAAGGTGCACGAGATCAGACGTAGGGCTGTCATGCCACGCGGCGGACGTCGATGGCCGCTCCTTCGCGCGCCAGCCCGGCCACGTGCGACACGAGCGCTGCACCTTGTCACGGCGGAGGGCCTGCTTCTGCGCGTCGAGGCGTTGCGGCGCGAAGAGCTCCGTGGAGCACACCTTGAGTAGGGCACGCCACAGGGGGCTTCTCGTCGGGATCGGGAACCAGCCCATGGAGCGTTCTTGCACGGCCGTGATTCCGTTACTACTCCATTTGCGGCTACGCTGACGATTCACGAGCAGGGAGCGAGCGACACCGAGAGGATTGCCATGGACCATGGTCGTGTAGCTTTCAGAACCGCGATGGTCATGAGGCACGGGTGAGAACAGCAGTCCACCGTTCACCACCACAAGGTAATTGCTGCTGCAATCGCATTAGATTAGCACGTAAGCAGCTGGCAATTCAAGACATGCGGCGGTAATTCAAGGCAGCACGACCATCAGCAGGAGAGTCATCACTCATCAGACATCAAGCAAGAACAAGCAAGGTTTTCCTTTTTTTTTCTTTCTTTTTACCGAGAAGCATGCAGGGGTCGTCGTCGTCGGGCAGGGCGGGACAGCGACGAGGAGACAGCGGCAATCGCACTACAGAGCAGAGAGATTGCAATCCATCAATCGCTGGACGGACGGATTGACAGCTCCTCGGTTCGAATGCGGCCATACGGATACAGCAGCAGCCGCGGACTCAACACGCATGCCACATTGCCACTGCGTCGCGCGCACGAACAAGCATGGCAGGCGGCGGACGCAAGCAACAGGCCGGGTTGGCCCTTTGGCCGCCGGAGCAGCTGGAAGAACGGACGGACAGGCAGGCTTTCTTGCGAAGAAGTTCACGGGTCGTTCTCCTTAATCCTTATCCGCGCACAAACGGAGGAACTCTTCTGCGGCGTGTGTTCACAGAGAAGTTCACGGAATGGTAGAAACTTGTAACGTTGTAATCTTTCAATGGTAGATAGCTAAGACCAGATCTTTTAATGATACATTGCCAAATATGCAATCTTTTGATGGTACGTACCCAATTTTCCCTCCTTTCTTTGGACTCCAAATGTGGTGGGCAATCGGTTGAAATTTACCCAGAATGTGTTTTATAGGCGTGCTTGTGACAACTTGAGTAGTTTCTTTTTTAGATCATAGTACAGACACCCTAGAAAACCGATGACTTGAAACCGGTCGGTTAGGTTCCATCACAAAAACTAACCAACCGATCTATGCTTAGTCCATGCCAACTTTAGTACCTGACTCTATTATTTGGCAAAGTCATCCAAGCAACTGTCAGTGACATTGTTGCAGGTAGTGGGCTGAGGGGGGCCATTCCCAGGAACGAACGAGGAAGGCGGCGGATGGAAAATGCAGATAACCTATCTAGGGGCGATGAGGGCGAGCTGACAGCTGAGTGGTAAGCCACCATTATAGAAAACCATCACAAAAATGAAAAAAGATTCGAATAACAAGACCAATGACGTTTCCTAACATAACAACAAATATGGAAACGTGAATGTGAATCAGCCATGTCGGCTCCGCCGAAATAGCTCCAGGTACGGAATTTTTATAAACTACATGATCATTTTCATGGTTGTTTAAAGAATATATATGACTTCATCTATCCTGTCAGCATGATATAATAACTACTTGGGGTTTGGCTCGCGGTAGTCTTGTGCGATGCTCATTTGTTGGTGGGGGCACTGCTCCTCCTTTGACTGACCTTGCTGCTGGATCGGATCACAGATTCTCTAGTTGCCAGTTCATATCATCCAAGCTGTTAGGGGGATGTGGTGAATTGGACGGTGTTTCCAGCCGAAAGCGACGCAACTAACCCCTCCCGGGCCGGTGACCGACATGAGCAGGCAGTGATCAGGAGCTGGTGCATCAGCAGGCAGGAGCTGGTGCATGAACATCGCTAAAAGCGTTTTGATTGGGTCCCTTCTCCTAGCTATGAGAGGAAAGCAACTCCTTAATTCCTTTTCAAGGGCACAAGCAACCCGGGAGTCAGGACAATGCTTTGCTTTATTTAGGTTGTACTACTACTGAACACTGGTTAACAAAGTCTTTCGTCCTGTTCGTTTGAGCTTGTTTCACTGATAAGCCATGACTGAAAGTACTATTGACTGATTTGGTGTAAAAGAAAAATATTATTCGTTGGCTGAAAAAGTACGGCTTATAAGACAAACAAGCCCAAACGAACAGGACGCTTACCCAAATGTTAGCCTAGCCTACTAGTAGGTGCCCTTTTTTTCCCTCTCACCGTTGTACAGTAAATTCTAGAAACAGTCGATACACAGTGCAGGGCATCTTCTCTTCAAATTGACTGGCGGCAAAGTTCCCACTGTGATGACAACATTAGCCAAATACTATGTATATGTATGTATATTGTTCCCACATTTTGTTTGTACCACTGACACAGACAGAAAAATAACCCAAACAAAACCAAGAAAAGAAGAAGCGGATCAACATTGCCAAGATTGCACACACGCTCTTATTACATTTTCTGATGAATGAATCAATGAGACGTGTTGTTGCGGTTGCACGCACGGAGCATCAACAATCTACCAGTAGGTTCGTTCCCTTCCTACGCAGACGCAGCTGTTTGGCTGGCCATCTTTCTTTCATGATCGCATTTTACACGAACACGCCATACACAAACTTGTAAGTTGTAACGCTGTCCAAAGCACAAACAAATCCTTGTCGCATCAATCAAATAAACAAAACTACTACTACTAGTACTACTAATCAAGAAACATGAACGCGCACATGCATGGCATGGCCATTGATCGATCGGTCGATCTGCACGTCCTGCAGGGTTCAGGGGTAGCCCGACGCCAGGCACGCCTCCCAGAACTTGCGGTCCTCCTCCTGCCGCCTCGCCGCCGCCACCGTGGGGTCCTCGTCGTCGCGCTCGCCGCCGGCGCGTAACTGGCCGCCCTCGGTTGCTCTGCTCCCGTTCGCCCACAGGGAGCAGCGGCGACCGCCGCCGCCGCTCTCCTGGCTCCACCAGGCGACACCGCCGCTCCCGCTCCCGCTCTCCTCCTCCTCGTCCTTCTGTCCGCCGCCGGCACCACCGGCACCGTCGACGCAGCTGCCGCAGCCGTCGTCCTCCTCGCCGCTGTCGTCGTCGACCAGCACCAGCTCCAGCTGGTCCAGCCGCGACGACGACGGGCAGCACGACTCCGCCACCCTCTCCTTATTCCTGCCGTGGGCGACGGCCACGGCGGCGTCGGCGCGGCTCCTCTTGCACGGTAGCTGCGGCCGCGCCGCCGGCGCCTGCGACGGCGCTGCTGGTAGCGGCGGAACCAGCGGCGACGGCGGTGGCGGATGTCGGCGTGGGGCTACGCGTGGCTGCACGGCGGCCATCGATCGATCGACCAGGCTTCAGAGAAAGAATTCTGAACGGAGTAGGGGGAGAAAAAGAAGATTTTTAGCTCGTTTTGGTGTTGGTTTGGGCGCCTTGATGAGTTTCAAGAGCGTGCCAATATTTATATATTTACGGGCGGGCCAGAGGAGGCGATCAAGATTCAAAGAAGTGTTGGGCGAGGGAGGACGGGAGTGAGCTGCCGTCGACAGATGGGAATGGCGACGTGTTGGGACAGATGTCATTTTGCCGGATCTGATGAACATTTTTAAAGCAGCAAGCAATCCATTTGCTTTTATATACCAGCAAACACGCAATCCATATCCATGCACTGTAGCTGCTTAGCTTTTTTTCTTTTTTAAGTTCAAGGGCATACGTCCCAGCCTTCCAATTAAAATCAAAAGACCAAGAGTCGTTACAGTACAGGAGTTTTAATCATCGCCGAGATTGTCCACCAGGACTTAGTACAATACCCAAAAGTGCTTAGCTTAGCTTTTTTCCTATGGGCCGTCAAGTAGTAGTGTGTGTTCGTAATTAATTCCGATTGAGAACAAAACTAAAAACATGTCAGTATCTAAATCAGCACGTTCGTTTAGCTGTGGCTTGTCGTAAACGATCATAAATTTTCAGCCGAAACAGTATTTTTCTCTCACACAAACCAGCCAGCAGTACTTCTTCACGAACCAGCAACGATACGAACCAGCCAACCGAACAGGCTGAAAAGGCTTATGGTAGAAGTTCGGCCAACCAAAAGTGGTGTCGAATTTGTGGTTATTTTTGCATAGAAAATGAACTCTAACATGGCTATTTTTGGTCATGTTTGCTTCGCTGAAAAGGCAGGCTAAAAAGTACGGTTAGCTGATTTGTTGGGAGATAAAAAGGCTGACAAGTTCAAGTGAACAGGGCTGATAAAGAAAACACTTGCTAACTTTAAGGCATCCTTTGGAACACAAGAATTTTACAGAAATTTCAGTTCATTTTTATAGGAACAACACATGAAACAGAAAAAAATCTTCAAATCCAAAAGGGGCCTAAACATGTTGAATTGTGGCAGGCCATGACAGTATGACACGATCTGATCAATCAACCAAACGTCGTCCTAATTCCGCCAGCGTTTGTTTTGCCGTCGCAAGGGGTTGATGCTCTGCTGCTTTTGCTGGTACTACTACAGTTTTAATGGAGTGTCCGGCGGTTTGGTGGCCATTAAAGGATGCGCAATAATAGAGGATGAGGGTTAAAAGTTTAGGCAAACGATAGTTTCCTTTTACAGAAGTAGAGATTCACGTGAAATTTCTTTTTAACGGAGCCTACGATATTAGATCGGTCTTCATGGAAGTTTTATTATATTTTCATCTGAATTTAATAGATTACTATAAATAATTTTGATGATATTATAATATTTTTATGAAGAGAGAAAATGTGAGTTTTATGGAAACGAAACTCTCTTGCTCAGTTTCCAACTCTAAATAAGTGAAATAAAAGAATAAAACAATACATTAAGAATAATTCTTTCACCCATATTTTTTTGAGAATTATTTTATTGCATTCTATATAATTTTTAAAAACAATGTTATAAACTCTCGACTAAAAATGGTCAAATAAGCCTTGTACAATAGTTCCCTTTTGGCATACACGGTTCTGCCCTGCCTCCTCCGCTAGGTTAGTCCTTTTCTTTCACGAGTCGTGACTTTGATCAAACTCATAGACAAATGTGCCAAAATCTATATCACTAAATCAGTTATTAATTCCACGATGAACTATGTTATAATTGTGCATTTATTTGGTATATGCATATTAATATATTTTTTATAAATAAATTAGATTAAAGTTATAAAAATAGATTTAGAAGAAAACTAAACTCAAGGCACACAAATATAAGTTTTTTAGAATAGATTCCATTACTACCTCACTTTCAGAAACGGTGTAAATTCTAGGTTTGATTTAAGTCCAAACTATCTTTAACTTTGAATATGCCTATAAAAAATATTGTTAATATTTATGAATTTAAATACGTATATTTTCATATATTTTATAAAGGTAATGATACTTATTTAGTATGATGACAACTAGTATCTTTTTATATAAATTTGTTCAAACCTTAGATACTGTCGGCACAAAAAACGTGTCAACACGTAGCAAGTCGGAAGGATCTGTTTGGGATGAGCCCGGAGATCCGCTTGGCTTCAACGTAGGACCAGTCGACCCTACGAATTTCCGAAGGCGTGCCAGTCAATTTGACCTGCAATTGACAAGGAGGGAAAGTTTATCAGTAATTTAAGGTGGAATATGCCGGTTTTGCCTAGACACTTCCAAGTGTGCCGCTTCGGGAGCAGCCAGAAGTGAAAATCGACTAAATAGTCGATACGAGAAGAAATCGACTATTAAGAACTATAAAGCTCGCGGGTCATGATTGATTTTATAGTAACAAATGCAACATGCTCAGATATAAGTAACATCATTAGTTAGATAAATATAACCGGTGTAAAGCATTGAGCCGATAAATTTAACGAGAAAGGATATAACATACGAACAAAATCGACTGTCTAGTACAAATAGATTTACAAACGTTCTGAATCTAATCTGCTACAATCAACAGTGAGGTTCGACCGGATCGATGCAGCTATGATGATAACAACAAACTAAAGCCAAAGAATTTATGAAACCATCTATATGTTGACAGGTTTTCTGAAAGATATGCTATATGTGTGAAAGCACATGCGAATCAGCTAAAATAGTCAATTCTGGTAGAAAAAGGATCATAGCATGAGAATAATCGACTATTTAATACGAATAGATTTATAAACTCATCAAATCTAATCTATTATCTTTAACAGTGGGGTTCGACCAGATCGATGACAGTCATATTAAAGATAACAGATTAAACATTTTAAAGCAAACAGATCTGTTCACATTTAACAGAATCATGAAAATACACTATGAGTGTTAAAGTACGAGCAATCGGTTATTTAGCCGATACAGGCATAGCAAACAGCCAAGGTCATGTCTGGTCGAAAGTAAATCTACCAGCTAGCATACTCCGATCTAAAGTGCTAACAGTGAGGATCGACCAGATCGTTACAGCCATAATAGCGAGCTGTAGATCAGATTTAACTAGCTAGTAAACCTTCTCAAGATCAGACATGCTTTAACCGCATATTATGCACGATGAAGATCGAAGTAGGACGGCTGATGAAACATAATCCGTCGTTTAAAGTAAAAACTATCGCAATGTGACAAGATAAACGAGGGACTAAAAGGATGTGACGCCGATCTAGTTCGATCTCGATCGGGTAGGTTGATATTGCTGAAACTAATAACAATAAGAACATCAGTAAAATCGGTAACTTAATGAATCTACCCAAAGGATGCCACCCTTAGGTATAGCCGATAACTTGACCTTAATCTAATTCGAGCAGTGGAGGTCAAACTTAACCGATGCAGCCGTACTTTAACTAGATAAGGGTAGATAACTAGCTTATACTAGAGCTCGCAAGAGATCGGCCAGACCGATGCAGCCCTGCTTGTTGAAGAACTCGTCGAGATCTACACTACTCCTACTCCTAAGGGTTGGCGTGAAACCAAAAATATAATTGGTATTAATTGATTGTATCCCTATTACAATAGTCGAGGGTTTATATTTATACCATGGGCTGATAAGAGTCCTAAACGAATAAGACTATATAACAAAAAGAAATATCAAGATACATGGACTCTAATTTCTCTTATACAGAATCATTGCTGATGAAGCTTCCTTATTTGATATGTGTCCTTGTTTCTTTCATCCTGATATGCATCTGTACGTCATGTCTCTCTCAAATTTATTAAATAATATGTTCTGACTGGCTCATAAATATCCCTTAATTAGAAAACTTTCTTGCTTTTGACATCATCGGCCGATCTATTCCTTTTCAGGATAAGCTTATCAATTTTTGGTGTAAACAGATACTTTGACTTAATAATATTCTAGAACTAGAAGTATATCCCGCGCGTTGCTGTGGAAATTGCGGATTAGTGGATTACGTGGTATGATGACGTGGACAACAAAATATTTATGTGTCTTGCTGATGTGGACAGTTGCATGTGCTAGTAGATTTTAATTGTATGTGATAGTGCATTACCTAGTTGAATAGCTTGCATGTTGAGATGAATAGTTAGTAAAGTTTTGCTTAGTGAATTTTAATTGTATGTGATTGTGCATTGTCTAGCTAGATAGCTTGTATGTTGAGATAAATAGCTAGTGGGGTTTTATTTTATAAGAGTATAAGTCGGGAGACGGAAGGAGTAACATCTACCTTTTTTATGCGAATTGAGCGTAGCTCAACTGGTTGGATTTCTTGTGGTCGAACATACCCACCCGGGTTTAAGTCTCTGACTTGATAAGGATGCTTATATTTTACTGAATTTATTCTAGGATTTAACGGCGCTGTTCTTTCAATGGTAGGCGATATGCCCCTCGACAGTGACGTGTCTGTGGTGAGTTTGTCAATCTCGAGATTTGCCGGTTCAACTCAGTTCTTCGGAGGTGCTCATAGAGGTATGGTGTGTGTACATGCGTTCATAGGAGTGAGTGTGCTCGTGTATATAAGCATCTATATCTGTCAAGGCCCTCTCGAGATTTTTTACATCAAGCAGGGTAAAATGTTCAACTCCACCGATGAAGCCCCTAAAATGTGCTCACAGAGAGTTTGGGGTGGGATGAGTAGTGGCTTCTTCCGCTCCTCCTAGCCCCTAAAACATGCTCTCACAGGGAAGCCATTTTGCCAAGCGGTTTATATAAGCATCTATAGTGGAGCTGTTAGCTCGTGAAGCGAAGTAAAAAAAAATGGCTTCACTAGTGAAGTGAAGCCCTGCCAAACGGGGTCTAAGTAAAAAAACATCTAACCACAATGGTAGTGGCTAATTAGATTACATTTATGACGATGAAAGGGGAGGGATGTATTATGCCAAAAATGCTTATAGATAAATTTTAAATGTTGAAATTATTTACATAATTGACAAAGGG